ACACACACACAGACACACACACACAGAGACACACACACACAGACACACACACAGACACACACATCAGAGTTCCCATCAGCCCCTGCTCTGATACACAACTGCACAGTGAGAGAATCAGGTCTACTTACAACTACACACAAACACTACTAACCAAACACAACTACAGTTTATTACTACACTAACTACTATAACTACACCATTTTAATGTATCACATGACACACAACATAGATTTCGCTATTTTGTCAGAACATGCAACGTTTAAACATGTTCTGTTTTTATAATTGGAGTTGGTAAGTTTAATTTGTTTCAGTTGTTCACTTTCTGTGATTCCCTCCATGATTTATAATTGCTTCAAAAAAATTCAATAATTCATTTGTGCCCTCAATCAAATGTTCAAAGATGTTTCTGTAAGTTTGTAGGTAAATATTGTTGTTTATGATTATGTATTGGTATATTGGTGCAGTGATTCCCAAACTTTTTTTTTGTTTTGTTAGCCAAACATTTTAGAAGTTTAAGATAATATTTTAATAATTTATCAACACATTCGCATGTTCAAGGTTCTCTGATGTTGTTTATTAGTCACGTGACGTGCAGTTAAATTAAAAGTGTTTTATTTTTATTTGCATTTTAAAATGTATTTTTTTATTTTAATATTACATTTTTATGATTGAATTATTAGGTATACAAATCCAATTTTTGCTATAATATTTTTTAATTTATATTTTAAAATTTTGGTGTTTTATTTTGATTGTTTTTATTTTAAAATTATGTATTTAGATTTTTATGATTAAATTAATTATTAGTTTTTCATTAACTCTATATTGGTGTGTATACCCTAAAACGTAAAAAAATAAAATAAATGCATGCATACAAAAATAAATATTCTTTCTTGTTTTTCATGATTATTTTAACTTGACTTTATATTTTTAAATCTTCTTTGGTTAAAATGACTTATCACTGAAAAAAAACACCTCTTATAGGTAATTTCAGAGCAAATACATGAATATAGTACAGTCTGTAATATCATCCAAACCAGGGTTATTATAGTTAAAATAAAACCATAAAAATGTGTTATTCGTCATCCGTTAAATAAACATTAACTGAAATAAAATAAAATATTTAAAAAAATCAGCAAACATTTCTCATTTTAATGATGTACTGAAATAAAAATGTATTAAAAAACTAATAAAAATGAAAAACAAAAAAAACTAAATTACTGAACTAACTAAAATTCTAACAGAAAATATAAAAAAATATATAAAAACTATTACAGTATCCCAATGACACTAAAATAAATAACACTGATACAAACCTCACAAAGATGCAAACATACAAGTGTTTGCTTTCGTTTATGGTCTCGTTCACAGCAGAAACATTAACAAAAATCCACACAGAAATGCATGCATCACAGATTTCTTCTGAAACTTTCTACAACACCCACGCATGCATGCATGCACACGCGTCACACGCTGGCCGACTCGGGCTGAGCTGCTTTGGTGTGTGTCACACACACACTTACAGGAGACGAGCGGTGGGAGGGGTTTGATAGTTTAGGGGCGGAGCCTCTACTTGGCTGCAAGGTTGTCTTCAGCTACAGGAGAGATCATTTATGAGGAAAGTGCAGATGAAGGAAGAGAACAGATGATTGAAGAGAGAAGAGCTGGGACTCTGTTCTAAAACCTAGAGAGCTGCCTACAGCATATCAGAGACGCACTCACGACGCAAAGCCTGCTCCAAAAGGCAGGCAGTTGTTGCAGAAGGCTAGACAGCCGCAGTAAGACAGATCACTAGGGTTTAGGAACAGAGTAGAGCTGCACGATTAATCGAAATAAAACCGCTCACAAACCAGATGTTGTCAACACATCAAAAGGTTTATGGGCTTGTTGTGTTTTTCTGCCAAAATAAAAGCTTTTGGAACATTTGGAAAACATTTGGAAAAAAAGAAAAAAAAATTAAAGACAGGCAAAATTTGTATTGTAATTGTAGAGTTGTAGTGTACAATAAAGTTATTATTATTAATAATAATAATAATAATAATATTGTTTTCTTAAATGCTCCATTTTTGTTTTACAGTGAAATTACAGAAGTTATATTTCTTATTTTAATATTCTTACTTAGTAACAACAACAATAATAATAGTAATATATGATGCAACCATAATAAATTGTGCAACCATACAAACAAGCAACAAACCTAGAGGTTTATCCTATTTATTTATTTTTAATTGCATTTTAAATCACAATTGTGATTTAAACATGGTTTAATGGCAAAGAAAAAAAATTAAGCCAGTCATCATTTTTATTGTAATTTTACAATTGTACTGTAAAATAAAATTATCGTCAACATTATATTATTTTTCTTAAATAACATTTCTTGTTTTAACATTATTATTAAATTTCTAATTAAGACAGCCATAATTTTTATTGTAATTTTACAGCTGTACTGTAAAATAAAATTATCATCATTATATTATTTTTGAAATACTCATTTTTTTATTGTAGTGAAATAATATTTTTTAGTTAATTACAACAACACTTATTATTATTATTTATATTTCTAATTAAAACAGCCATATTTTTATTGTAATTTTAGTTGTACAGTAAAATAAAATTATCATTGTATTATTTTTTTTAAATACTCATTTAGTGAAATAATATTATTTTAATATTTTAAATTTTGTTACAACATTATTATTATTATTATGCTGACAATTCCAATTTTTTTAAATTCAAATTGTGCAAACCCAACAAACCTGTAGCTTTTTAAAAAAATGTAATTAAACCGCATTTAGATTTTTCCCGTAAATCGTGCAGCCCTAGAAGAGAGCTAGACTGAACTGTTCAAAGAGTAATGGAAGGTTTTTTGCTCGACTCACCCCAGCGAGAGATTTCTGGATGTTTTCTCGTGCTCGAGCGATGTCCTGAAGGATGCTGTTAGCTCCAGTGTCCTGAGACAAGAGACAAACCTCAGTGTGTGTGTGTGTGTGTGTGTGTGTGCTGGCATAAACAGTGCTTCTGCAGCTTTTAACAGTGAAATATGGCACTAGCAACAGTAAGGTCATGGGTTCAGTTCCCAGGGAATGTGGGAACGTATATGTTGAATGCAAATCTAAGTCTCTTTGGATAAAATCATCTGCCAAATTCATAAAACTGAGTAAATGTACATGTGGAACGGACCTACTGATTGCCTAATATTTTTCAAAAATACCATGTGGAACAGTGGTATTAGCACATATGCTGTACACACTGATGCAATAGTTCGAATAGTACGTTTATTACTTGTTTGGGCTGCGTGGGTCCGTTCATCCGCTCGTAAAATTGCCGTTCCGCTTCATCATAACGTGGCTTATCGAACCAGATCCTCTCCTGCGTCAAACACGCCGCTGCAGTCATCCTGTAAAACACACACGAGCTCTAACAACCTCACTAAACACTAAACCAAACATCTTAAACTTCACATTTCGGAAATGTGCCGCTACAGACCTGTGATGAGATTTTATAGCTATATGGCTTTGATGAGAATGAAGGATGTCTGAGACTAAACTACGGCACGCAACGGTGTTGGGGAGTGAATTTTAACGCTGATGGTTATTATTATAGTTAAAACTAAAACCATAAAAAAATTGTTAGTTGAAAAAAAAAATTACAGCAACAATTAAGGCAACATTTCTCATTTTCATTAAGTTTAACTTGGTGTACTAAAATAACAAAACTAAATAATACATATAAATTAAATAAATAAATAGTAAAGATTATTAAAAACTATATGGACATATTAAAAAAACACACACACATAAAATAATAAAAATTACCCCCCCCCCCAAAAAAAAATTACTAATACTTCCAAATGAAAAAAAAAAAACTAAAAACTTTTCTGCCAAAATAACAGCTCAATGGTTTAACATTTGAAAATGAAAAAAATAAATAAATTATCATTATATTTTTTCTTAAATACTCATTTTTAAAATTTTACAGTGAAATAAGATTTATTTTAATATTTTTATATACTAACAACAAAATTATCATCATCATTATTAATTTTATTCATTCATTTTATTTCAGCTACTTGCTAAAGCAACATTGCTCGTTTTCATTTAGTTAAACTTGATGTACTAAAATAACAAAAACTAAATAAATAAAAATTTAAAACTACGCAGACATTAAAAATAAATAAAACTAATAAAAATGACAAAAACAATAAAATGACTAAATCTTTAAAATGAAAATGAAAAATACATAAAAATAAAAGCTCAGTGGTTTAACATTTCAAAATGAAAATAAAATAAATTCAAAATTAATAAACTATAATAGTACGAAAATAACAGTGCTAAGTAACTCCCCAAAACTGGTGCATGAACATAACACTATAAATAATACACGCATATTAATGCAACCATGCAAAAATGACAAACACAACAAAAATGACATCAACCAAACAAATGAAGAAACCCAAATGATACAAAACTGAATTCAGACAAATGACTCTTCCAAGTCAACACAACCGACAAACACAGCAAGAATGAACATGTAAAAGGAGCCCAAAGAAAAACAAAAGAGAACGGCATGAGAAAAATATGCGATGACATGAAGATGGTGCACAAAAGTAGGAAAGGTTGTTAACATTTTGTATGTAAATGCAATGGGTGAAACTGATGGTTACCTGAGAGTAAAATGTCATTTAAAGTGATAGTTCACCAATTCTGTCATTCGCTGACCTTTATGTCATTCCAAACCCGTTTGACTCACTTTTCGCCATTTAACACATAAGACGGCGATTCGTAGGATGTTCAAATGAAACAAAAGCCATGCAGGTTTGGAGCAACATGATTGTTAAAATGACGGAACTTTCATTTGGTGATGAACTAACTAATTAACTACAGTGTGTGAGGGAAGTGTATTTTCTCGAGTATCCAGTCATACTTCTTCAGCTTCTGGGTAGAATGGTTTATAGATGTTTTGACGGATCTCTCCGCGGCTCCTTCATAGAAACGAGTCTCCGCCTCCGCATAGCGACCGCGATCTAGCCACACCCTCTCGCTGTCGGCATGCAGGAAATAGCAGCGCGCCGCTCCCTGATTGGTGGTGATGTCGTTGGAATTACGCCGATCGCAAACCACAGGTTTTTTTTGCGTGTTAGTCCGCCGTTTGGAGTTGGACTCGTCGCCGCTGGTTTCTGGGTTTCTCGGTGGCGAGCTCCGGCGGTACAGGTTCTGATAGAAAGTCGCCTCGGCTTTATCAAAAAGAGGTTTCTGTAGCCACACCCCCATTGGAGGCGGCGGCAAGCAAGGGAGGTCATTGATTGGTCTCGAAGCCGGTGTGGGTGGGGTCGGGGTTTGCGATTGGTAACCCTCGTCGCAGTTGGCGGGCTGCAGTTGGAGAGATCTCGGTTGGTTGGGAAAGTGGCCCACAAACTTGCTCTCGGCTTGGTCAAAGTTGGGTTTATTTACCCACACAGCATTAACGACATGATGACAAGCCTCTTGCTCTCCATGCCGACAGGTTTCTTGCTTGTTTCTTGTGGAAGAACTCGCAGGAGCAGTCGTGCCGTTATGCTGCTGCAACAGTCGTACGTAGTAAAGACTCTCTGCTCTCTCGTACGCGTCGCGGTCAAACCACACCGTCGAACACTCCGATCTCAAACCCTCCAGCGTCGCGCTGGACAAACATCCCTCGGCGCCTGCGTTGGTTTGGTCCGGCTGCCGTTCAGAAGAACTGGACTGATTCGAAGAAGAATTCCTATGGCTTCTGTTGCGCATTTTCTTGTGTTCAGAAATACAGAGGTAGAAGAGGATTGATAAATAAACAAAAAAGAGGAAAGAGAGAGAGAGTGACAGGGAACTGGAGAATTAGTCACACAGCAGTAGGATAACATAAAACATGAAGTGTGTAAACTGTATGTTGCGATATACAAATCAATTATTTAAGCGCAAATTACAGCAAGTTAAACAAGTTAACGATTTACATTGACGCGGTAACTTAAAAGTGGTGCAAGACACTGAAAAACAAAGTATATTTAAAAATGCAGTACTGAAGACGGATTCATTACAAAAAAAAGAGAAAAAAAAAATTGCTGCTTTTATGGATGTAGACGATGAATTTAGAGACTTTTCAGAGAGCTTTTTAGCATACTATATTCATAGTCCAAAGAATACTGTTAGCATTTAACAAAAATCGAAATAGCTTAATAAAACAGGTATTTGTATGGAAGCTTATTTCTGTCACCTAATAAAAATATAAAAAAATTAATAGTTATAAACGCACAATTACAAATTTAGAACACACAATTTTGAATTTTTTCTTCAGAATTAATTTTACATCTCACAATTAATATAACTTACAATTGCGATTCTAATTAGTCTGAATTGGTGGAAATAAGTTTCTATATTGAGAAACCTGTTCGGAGACAATCATTATTCGATTTCATTTTTATGCATTTTAGCTGTTCATTTACATGGCAACTGCGTTTTGTGGAGCTGAAATCACAAACCTTTGAAAATGAGTTTCAATGTGGGAGCTTTCGAAAACTGTATCGTTTTTGTCTCCATGTAAACGCAAATTTGTGAAAACGGCAATGTAATGCATTTCTTTACAAAGTGACATCGCCAACTACTGGCCTGGTATAATACAGCATTTTTTGTCATTTTTGTGGATCTGTGTGAACAGGCATTGTTTTAACCACATCATCATCTGTACAGAAATCTTTTTAGAAAATGCAAACGTAAAACTACATCATTGTCATGTAAAAATTGTCGTGTAAAAGGAAGTGCATCATTCAGTACGTTTACTTGGACAACAATATTTCGATTATAACACGATTAAGACAGTACTCTGATTAAGAATCTACCATGTAAACACAGATTTTTCGTGACCTTAATCTGGCTAAAGTCATACTCGAAGTGAACACAAATCGAATTAAGACATGTGGTGTATTCCTATTTTAGTTGCATTATCAAAGTGCAGTATAGACATGTACACACCTCAAATCACACTATTACCATCGTGTAGGACTTTTCGACGCATTTTGGGACAGGATACACACATGGCAGTGGTCAACCATTTGACGGCAAACAAAAGAAGCATGGCTTCAACAACGCCATCATCTGTTTGCACATATTGCATGATAAATAATTAACTGCACTTGAGGCTTTCGTAAAATTAAAAATGAAACACCCAAAACTGTATATTGTACCATAACGAAGACGAACTGTATGTTGATATGTGAAATTCTGGAGGGAACGACGGATGGCGTCGGGTGGGAACGTAATGACATGTAATTAATCAATCTATGTACTATAACGTAAAACAGGAACATGAAAGGAATATTCTAAAAGCAACTCATGTAAACACCTTAATAATAATAATATTGTCTTATTTAGAATAAGGTAAATAATTAGATTACTGATGTAAACATACTGTAAATAAAATAAACATGGACACTGTAAATAAAGTTCTACCCAAAAACAATGAATATATTTTAATGAATAAACATGTTGATTAGAGTGAAATTATTAAGAAAAAATGCATTTATACAACCAGTCAAAAGCATAGTGATGGACGGCAACCTGTACCTGAATGTTTTGCTTTAAGAAGAGAAATGAGTCATTGAATCGTTTTCTTTTTTTAACTGCTTTATTAATACTATGAACCAACTTAATCGGACATCCCAACACTGACCTCTTAATCCCTGATCTCTTAAATCTCTTAATTGCTTTGAACACTTCAAAGCGGCAGTGATATATGTGCTAGAAAACAATATATAACACATTATAGTTTGAAATCCGGACTTCATTGCCGGACATTCATCTGCCCTAAAACTTGCTCTATGCTATGTTAAAGACATTATTGACATAACGGTATGAAATATTTAACTATTTTGAAATAATGTGTATTATGGTATTGTAAAAATCACTATGCATATATATATATATATATATAT